AGACGTGACACACAGACCATCTTCCCTCCTCGTCAGAAAGGTTTATGTTTTCACCAACTTCAATAAAAATCTCGTAGATTCAAAGCATGCCATCTGGTGAGAAACATAACTCCAAGCCTTTCGGAGAATGCCAGTTAGATGTTCTTTTACCTTTTAAAATATTCACATAGTCAACTACCAAAGAAATTGGTTTCCTAGTAAATGTTTTCATTTCTTCTCCAAACCTATTTTTCAGTTGAAAGTTTGTTCATTGGTGCCTGGTGCTATTATTTGAATTTTCACAATTAAAAATGTCCTAGATTTCTTCTGTGATTTTTTTTCTATATATTCTATACTATAAAGCTATTTAAATGATATATTAAAATCCACCGCTACTAAGTATTTTAACATACTTCTATTGAATAAAAAGAAATGTTCTCACCTCCTTGGGCAGAAAAGAAATACAGTGGGTGTAATTACCATTGTAACTATTAATATTAATAGTATTTTTGATGCTAAAAATATCACAAACGATTACAGATAAATGTCAAAATCAAGGTGAGATACTTTTAAATTTCTCTGATGTAGCTGGCTAGAAAAAGGTTGCTTTAGGATGAGTTCCGCTGAATTTTAGAACACAGAGAACAAAAGTTTTCATCTCAATTATCACAAGATGAATTCATGCAAGCACACGCAGCCCCCAAAACACAAGTCACATGTGTCATAGAGAAAGTTGTCCTTCTGGAACAGATGAGGGTGAAACTTTTGTTGCTACGTATACTCATATGCACATAGTATATGTGCTATATATCCGATACACACACACACACACACACACACACACACACACACACACACACACACACATATAGTTTCCAAAAGAATTACCTTGAGATAGTGGTAATTAGAATTTTAAAGTGAGAACACTAACATGAAAAAAAAATATTTATAGGTCTTTACTAGATACTGGATAAGTTCAAAGTTCATTTCCATTGAACGCAGACTAGTTATCTATTAACTTCTGACAAGAATAAACATCTTTAAAATAGATATTTATATATGTAAAATATGTATTCTATTTATATATAATGTATTTTATGCACATATATTTTTAAAGTGCTTATTCTTGTCAGAGGTTAATATATCATATATATACACATAGATATATTTTTAAGAATGCTTAAAGCCTGACAGTTATACTTGCCACTGGCTGCTTGTTAGAAATGCAGCAAAGCCACAGACATATTGAAGTAGAATCTGCATTTTAACAAGATTCTTAGGTGATTTGTATGCCCTTTAAATATTTAAAATTCGAGGATCCTTGCTCAAAATCACCAGTATTTTTTCCTGCACTGTTCGCTACAGGACAGTAGATCTGTTTGCTAATTCAAATCATGTTTTTACTTCTTTAATATGTACAAACTACATTTGATGATTCCGAAAAATTTTCATCAGATTTTAGGATTCCAATCAGGCATCAAAACCATCCAATAACCATTAAAATTTTTAAAGGGGACGAGAAGGCAATCTGTTCCTTTATTACACCAGGCATATAATCAAAATGAAAACCTAAGTCTTGTGCAATATAACAGCATAGTAGTCACTCATTTAATAGGTATTTTAAATTTGAAATGGTAAGTCATCCTAATTTCCTATGAGATATATATCTCTCATTTTACGTACATATATAAATTATATATCTCTCTCTCATTCTTCTAACAACGAATTAAACATTTCTTTTAAAACAAGTTTAAGAAGTCTCCGAGATACTTTTATTGGCACTAAACATCTTTATTTCTCATCTTCTCATTGCAACTTGTTTAAATCCTGCTTTACATTCGGGGCGACACTAAGAACATTCCTGCATGTCACCTCAAGGACTTCTCCAGCCCTGAACTTGGCTCTTGGGTTTAGGCTTTCAGGGAAGGACGGGCTCCGCCTCCTCCCTCCCTGCTAATCTGCCTGTAGGCACCAAGAAGAAAGATGGCTGCCTTTACCATCAAGAAACAAACTTGACTGATACAAAGAAACAGACACGTAAGCCTAAAAGAAAACCAAACCCTGGGTAGTCACAACCTGGATGCTTACTGGATCCAGGCTGTGGCAACTGATTGTCCTAGTTACAGGGTAAGTGTAATCACCGACTGATTTCTACTAGAAATAATACAAATCGCTTTCTAGCTAAAATCTGTAATCCCATGGAGTCCAAGTTCAGCTGTGACCTCAGGACTGTTGGAAATGTGACTGTTTTCTGTGACGTATTGAGTCCTGTTGCCGAGTTAAGGTTGAATCCATATATGCATATACATACATACGCATATACAAACACACACATATATAAACACACACATATACAAACACACACATACATATCAAGCCACGTGCGCATTTCTTAATCATTAACCCCGCAGAAACAAAGAAGCTTTGTAGGAAACCATATAAGCATCCAAACATCTTCGCAATTTAAAGCAAACAATAAGGACGTGTTAATAGCCAAAGTGAAAAATCCTTGCTGAAATCAGATGCTTTAAAAACTGGGGTCCAAAGCAACCATCTCACTAGTATTTATAAGCCCACTGCATACTGATGGAAGTGTATAAATATGAAGTTTAAAATAATCAGTGAGGGTCAGAGTGCCCTCACCTCTGTGCACCAAAATATCGCACTGTGCTCTGGGGACTGGCCTTGTCGCAAAGGGAAGAAGCGCTTAGTGAAGAAGAAGATGCTAAAAACAGACCCCTTTCACATGGGACCTCATAGATAGTCATAGCACATGTAATTTTAAACGGGAAGCTTTCTGTCTTAATTGTAGAAGTGCAATGTCTACCCCCTCGCTGACAGAGAGACATGGAGGGAGCTGGTGCAAGAAGAGACAGGAATCGACTTTGCAAAACCTGGGTTCACATCCCGCTTGACCCTTGAAGCTCTGTGGCCTCAGACGTATTTCTCGGCTTGCTTTAGCCTTAGTGGTCTTATCTGTAAAAGTGCGTTTTTGCAAAGAAGCAGCAGAGCGGGGAAAGCAATCAGCATGGGGACGTGACGTCCGAAACATGGTGAAAAACAGCACATATTATCACGCTCGTTCTTACCGCGAGAGAGACACGAGTGGAACCACCGTTTCTACAAAAACATCATTTATTGCTTTCAAACCTCACTTTGTAGCCATGACAAAACCGACTTACCTCAGTCATTTCTCGCATGGACTGCTATTGACTTTACGTGATTAAAAACAAACAGATTCATCGTAGGCTATCTACCAACTCAATCACACGTTGAAGACATTTTTTTAAAGGCATCGGCTCAGTTACATCGATCATCAGGTAATATGCTCTGAAAATCCTTTCTCGCTTCCGAAATGTTTTAACCCCTCTCCTGCCTCAACAAGCAATCTTAGGGAGATTCAAAAAGAGGGTCTATTCAAAAAGAGGGTCTTTAGAAGGGGCTCTGGAGAGATGGCATCAGCATGCAGGTGCCAGAATGTTCCTGAGACCACCTTGGGCATAAACGAGGGACAAACCGGTGAGGTTCATTTATCACGAATGATTCCCCAGGGCCCCGGAAATAACTGGTCTTGCCATTGTCTGAAGGGTTAAGCTGGTGTGCTGTACAGAAAATTCTGGTTGTACAGACGCAGCTATAAATCCACCGCCCGTGGAAGGAAGATGTCTGTATCCAAAACATCCGTCTGCACTGACAGAAATGACGTTCAGACACAGTGATATTAGAACATGTTTAAGATTAACTCTTCCATGCGATCGTCTCACTAAATCCTTGCTCTCCAAAAACAAGCGATACAGTTTTTATTGCATTTAAGTTGTTTTTTGGTGAAAGGAAAGGAGTTCGAACTTAACTTTTTAGGAACGGCCACATAATTACTCCATCTGTGAGTTTTCATGATACGTCACGGTCGGATATGTCCGTTACGCACTCACAAACAAACTTAACGGTTCAATGAGGAGACCACCTGTTTCAAATGCATTTTACGCCGCAGGCAATATGAACCAGAAATATTTGTTCTACAATATTTAAATCTCAATCAAGAATAACTATTAATACCTTCTTAGATATAAGGAGACAGGAAAAGTGATTTTTAAAAAATATTTTGTGATTGTTTTACACGGATTGATTTTTCAGAATATACTAAAGCAAATTTAATCTTTCAAGAGATGTCACTGTTTTTTTTTCCTGAAAGCAGTCTGATTGTAGCTTAAGAGATGACCATGGCGGATCTGCTCAATCCTACATGAATTCATATGTAAATCAAAACAAATTTCACAATTTTCTTTACAAGGACATATTGAAAACCTATGTTGCAAAATGACTCATTTGAATCGGATTTACATAGTTACATTTGAAACTAGTGGTCTAGCTAACACGGGCAACCATGCAGAAAGACAACATTCATAGAAATCCCAGAGTCATTCTTGTGAACAGTAATTGCTGAAAGTAAAGAATCAGTAAGAACAGGTTCACGGTTTCAGTGTCGGTAACTTATTACTGAGTTCAAGTTCACAAAACCAGGTCCCTCTCAAACACGATCATGTAAAACATTTTCGTTGGCTTGAAAGAGACTATATCCTGTCAGACACATGCAGCATTGAAAAATCTGCTTTGACATTAAAAAAATCTGGGAAAAAAGTAACTTCTCCATTTCCCTCCATCACTCAGTTGTATTTTAAAGCCCAGGGAAAAAAAACTCTGGGGCCAGTTCACTTTTTATAAATAACATCACGGCCTGTCACATCCCTCCCTTTCCCATCCGCCACCAATTCTCCAAACGAAATATGCAACAAAAAACCTTGCCTCCGGATAAGAGGCAAAACGAATCTCCCCACCCCTAAACAAAACAAAATAATATTGAGCAAAGGACTCGACCTTTTTTTTTTTTTTTTAAAGGGTAGTAACGTTATTTTTTCACTTGGATCACTTAACTCATCTAAACGAACGCCAGGTGCTCCCGGGGGCTTGAGAGGGAATCCAGCGTAAAGAATTTAAACAGAGCATCTCAGCCCTCCGGCCAGGCGGTGGGAGTGCTTGGCAGATGCAGCATTGAGTGCGTAGGACCCCGGGAGGGGGATGCGGGGCTACACGTCGCTGGGGGACCGCGCCCTCTGGGAGAGGCTGGCTGGGACGCAGCCGCAGCAAATGAGGCAGAGGGCTTTCTGGATCTCCTGGTTTCTGAACGCGTATATGACAGGGTTGATGATGGAGTTGTAGGTGGCGGGCAGGAGGGTGGCGTAGGTGTAGATGGAGGGATAGGTGGAATCGGCTATCAAGGAATAGAGCGTGAAAGGCATCCAGCAGGCGGCGAACGTCCCCAGGATGATGGCCAGGGTGGAGACCCCCTTGCGGGTGGTCACGTAGTGCGAGGTGGCCAGGAAGTGGCGCTGCAGGGCGATCTGGTGGGCGTGCCTCATCACGATCTTGCAGATCTGGACGTAGAGCTGCAGCATGAGCGCGAACGTGAAGAGGAAGGAGACGGACAGGATGGCCGCGTTGTTCTTGGTGAGGGGTCTGACCACGCTGCAGGTGGACTCGTCTCGCAGGCAGTTCCAGCCCAGCACGGGCAGCAGCCCCAGGCAGATGCAGGTCCCCCAGAGCAGGACCAGCATGACATAGGTCAACGTGACCGTCCTCTCCGAATGGTACGTCAGAGCGTAATACAGGGAGAGGTAGCGGTCGACGGTGATGGCCAGCAGGCTGCAGACGGAGGCAGAGAAAGAGGCGACGATGAGTCCGATGCTGACCAGCTTGGTGGCTTCCGACTGGAGCAGGTAGGCAAAGACGAAGTGGATGATGAGCCCAACGCCGGCCAGCAGGTCCGCGAGAGCCAGACTCCCTATGAGCAGGAACATCGGGGCCCGCAGGCTGGGGCTGTGGAGGATGATGAGGACCACGATGGCGTTTTCGCAGGAGATGAGGGTTCCCGAGGCGCACAGGACGATGTCCCAGGGGTTGACGACAAGCTCTGGGTCTGGCTCCGAGACAGGAACCTGGGAGGAGACGGAGCCCGACACGTTCTCCACCACGGCAGCAGCGGCATCCAAGTAATCCCGAGGCGAGCCGCTTAGATTGACCTTCGGGTCTTCGTTCATTTTAATCCCTGTCCTCGTCAACGAAAAGACAGGCTTTTTTAACGTTGAGACCCAATCCGAGATCACGCACAACCAACCGCACAGCCAGAAAAGCCAGCCCCCGACGCGACGCAGCTATCGACTGCCACGGGCTCCGTGAATCACAACCCGCCACGAGATGAAACCAAAGCCAACGTCTCCGTGGCTAAAAAAAAAAACCCACCGCAAAAAAATAAATAAATAAAAATAAAAATAATAATAATAAAAGAAAAAATAAAAGTGTGTACATTTTCTAGTCTTTGTTTTTACTCATCCTCATTGTAGTTACCTACATGTCTTTGAATCTGAATCTGTTTGATTTGCCTTGGCTTAATCGTGTATTTTTGTAGAATCTTATTATTTTCCACTAGTGCAGAAGTACC